CCCAAAAAAAAACACACAAAAAAACGTCCCAAATTAGAGGGACGAAGTCTTTTGTTACATCTATGAGTGCTATAATGTAGGGCAGTGCCTGCCAATCTTCATATAACCAGCGGTAGCTTTTTCCACCACAGAAAGGGTAAAATGTTCGTACCGGACCACTTACGTGAATGTCCACTTATGAACGATGACCTCTCGGGCTGTCAGAAGGGGAAACAACATGCATAGCCGCGCCCTTTCGAGAAAAAACTATCAGAACCGCGCACTTTCGAGAAAAAACTATCAGAACCGCGCCCTTTCGAGAAAAAACTATCAGAACCGCGCACTTTCGAGAAAAAACTATCAGAGACGCGCACTTTTTTTGACGATATCGATACAATTAGATTTCCTATTACCAAAACAATACCGTCCAAAAATGTAAGTACCTTCAGCTTTTTTCTGGGCTCGCAACCAGATATCAGTTAGATTGTGTATGGAATGAATAGGCTTTTCAGGTATAAAAACATTTCTACTGGACAGGGGTGATATTTGATGTGTTGAGGCAGAATGTTCTTGCTCATTCGGGGTTAACATATAAGTTGTCAGACTTGTCCATCTGCGTACACTCGCTTGTTACACATGCTCCATTCTTCCTTAGAAGTGCCTTTCCGTTTAGTTTTATTTTCATTTTCAGCTTTAAAATGGCCTGGAAGTTGCTTAACGTCTGCAGAGAGACGAATATATTTGGATGGGGGCTGTACAGAATAGTTTTGTCAAGGGGACTGTAACCGTTGGATGGAATCGACAATCTATTTATATCGATATCGTCAAAAAGTGCACGGATCTGATTGTACGAGGCTTTGATAATTTTTACTCGAAAGTGCGCGGATCTGATCGGTTCCCATCAGAAGTGACCCCTGGCGCCTCTCTCTTCGCCTCTAATTGAGATTAGTCTTATGAGCGGCAAACTGTTCTCTTCTCTGGGGCATTTTTTCTCTCAGTCACGATGTCCACAGACTTGCACTGACTTTCATTCTCTGTACCAGCAGTAGTTCACGATCTGGGGCTGGCTGCCACACTTTGCGCGCTCTGAGAGAAACAACACGTGACTGCAGATAACCCTGACCTACGTCATGTGACATGACTGCAGATAACCCTGACCAACGTCATGTGACATGACTGCAGATAACCCTGACCAACGTCATGTGACATGACGGCGTGCTGCGTCTTGTTATGGGCTCATTTTTTCCCCTCAACAACTAACGTTACGATTCTGTTTCTGTTCCTTCGTCCAACAAAAGCTGGGCGTCCAAGATTATTCCCTGCTTTTTTCAGGTTTCAGATTACGTGTATATTAAAAACTGTTGCGCTCACAGAGCTCCGATCATCAGCAGACGAGAGACAATGACGCAGCAGCATAATATTCGGAACCACCACACACAAACCAAAGACACGAACTCACATACTTCATAGTGTGCATATCCCCCGCCCTTCCCCCAACCAGGGCAGTGCTACTGACTGAAATTGTCTTCAGGCAATTTCCAAAGGGGTGGGGGAGGGGGGGGGGGGAATTGACATGTTCTTATGCACAGTAGAATTGTAAAAAGGCTGATTTATCAATGCAATGCTCGCACTGTGTCGGAACAACATAGGGGGAACTGCTGCTTTTTCTTAGGCTAATACTTATAGTCTTTCCTTGTTTTCTTTGTTTTCCTTTTCGTTTAAACCATGCGCTCGTTTGAACCATGCCTCTGTTTTTTCACCTTGAGGCACATATTTTGCCACTCTTCAATGTCAATCTTATCATTTCTATACGAGAATGTATTGACCATAACTTTCCCAGATGGAAGCGTTTCAATATAGCGATAAGAATTTAAGTAATTTGAAGTAACACCACGGTTTAAGAGATACTTCTTTCTTAGTCCAAGCTCTGGGAAGACAGAGAGAGAAGGTGTATCATTAGACAGCGGCTCACTCTACACGTCAGACGATGAAGTCGTGGCTACCACTTTTGTTTGCCGTCTGGCTGTCAGCTGTGAGTGGAAACAATGACCACCGCGCCAACAACCACCACCACCACCACAACAACAACAACAACAACAACAGGCCAAACATCATCTTTGTCCTAGCAGACGACTACGGCTACAACGACATCGGTTACCATGGCTCACAGATTGCCACTCCAAATCTTGACAAGGTAAAACTTTCCGAACTGCTGCTGATGATAGTTACGTATCGCTACACGAGAATTACAAAATTCTCTCTGCTCAGTACCCAGTTCTGAGAGATGTGACGTTAAGAATGTTGACTTTCACAAAGTGTCAAGCTTTTTTACAAATGCAATTCTTTGATCTTGTTAACGAATGCGAAAAACGTAGGATTCTGAGTGAGCAGATAGAACATTAATTTCGGGGATTTCCAGAAATTTTGACCTACACCAAAAGTAGGCATAGGAGAAGTTGGGTTTCATTGATGTGTATATTTTTTTGGTTATAGAGAAAACTCTCCTTGTCTTTTAAAGGAGCTGGACAAGGGGCAAAAACTTTACCTTCGATTTTCTCAAAACAGCATTTTTTGAGATAGTCCCATTGTGCTTAAAAGTGGCCATTTCATCTCTTGTCTTCTACCTTTTTTTTCAGAACAGTTAATACGTTTCTCCAGCGAATCATGATGCTTGGTTTGCTCAAAGTAAAAGTAATTCAGTTTCAGTTTCTTTACCTTCTGAGGGGTAATGATATTTCTACACCAGTTCTTTTTAATGCCACATCTTTGTTTATTTTCTGTCTCTAACATAATTTCATTCTTAGAGCGCTTTTATTAAAGTAATTATTCCAAAAGCTGTCTGTAATCTTTTTTATGTGTTGATTGATAGTTCACGCTTTGCACCTATTGCAGTGGGAAATAATACTAATATTGAGGTATTTCTTAAAACTCTTACTTTTGATTCCCATTGACCATTCCAAAGATGTGTCTTTCTGTTCAGTTGTGATGTTGAAATTACATTTTTCAGTCAAATCGTCGGTGGTTGCCCGGTGTTTGGTGTAGTTTGCTCCTTCTTTCCTATCACATCTATCGTCCTTATCTTTCTCTCTTTCTCTCTCTCTTTTTTTTTGAGTGTTTGTTACTCCTTTGTAACACCTCTAATCTTCGGGACATATATGACCTATTTATGTTGCAAGAGCCGTAACACTCTTTCTAAATCTGAACTAGAATCAGTGAAATATCTTGAGTTCCTTTCCCATCTGTCTCAATCCGAGGCCTGCGATATTCAAAACTACTGACACTTTCTAATTGTTCCTCTTACTTACTTTTTACTTTTTCCTTCCTCTGGTATTCTTAGGATGTCGACGGGAGGTGCAGGTTTCGGTCCTGTGCTAGGTGTGTAACGTCTGTGATAGATATGTTATGTTGTTCCAGGACCGCTTTAACCCCATCCAGCCAGGTCTTTCTTGGTCTTCCTCTTGGTCTTCCTCTTGGTGTAAAGCCGGATTCTCGGGTGTTGTAAGCTCTAGCCGTTAGTTGTTTCTGGGGCATTCTGGTCAGATGTCCTAACTATTTGACTCTTTGACGCTCTGTGAATTTTATCACTTTTGGTATTCCAGTTTGTAGACGTATGGTTTCGTTTCTTATGCGGTCTCTTCTGGTGACATTGATGGATTTGCGGAGACACCTCAATTATTCCTCATTCATTCTTATTACTGACTCTTCTTTCTGTTCATGTCCATGATTTTTGTAATTCTCTACACTTTGTTGTAATATTTTTGGTCACAGCTAGTAAAACCCTATACTATACATACAGCTAGTATTCCTCTACAGAGGGTTTTTAAATTCATCTACCTCTTGTCGTAGAGGCAAAGAATGGCATCTACATAATTGAAGTCTCTTAAACGTATTTTTTCTTGTCGTTCTAATTCGTCATATTCATTCCTTAATGTATCATATTCTGTTTTACGCATTATTGCTCTGTTTACATGTTGAAGATACGAGGTAATAGTAGGTATCCTTGTCTTAATCTTCCTCGCAGTCACTCAATACGTAGTAAATACAGTAAACATCTATCAAGCATCCTACCAAATATGAATTATGAATTGATTTTTCTTCCCTAATTCTGTACCTCCTTCCCCAGCTGGCGTCTGATGGAGTAAAACTAGAGAACTATTATGTCCAGCCCATCTGTACACCCACTCGTAGTCAACTCATGTCTGGAAGGTACCAGGTCAGTTCACAAATTCTAATCAGATTTTCTTTTAATGTTATTGTGGGGGGTTACTCTTGGTCTTTCAATATTTTTGTTTTTGTTATCAATGCAAAAAAATAATAATGATGATAATAATAATAGTAACAACCAAGAGTAGACAGACTCCCACACACTCAGCACAATAAAAGGAAAGTGTGTGCGGGGCACAGCGAAAAAAAGTTTGCTCCGAGGAGTGGTCAGGCGTGTCTCAAACCAGCTCCTCATGGAGACAATTAGCAGGAAGACCCTGATGTGGACGCTGGAAAGGAGAGATGAGCAGCTATGGACATGCGCCGCCTGCTATGATTCTAGCTCTGGATCCAAGTAAAATCCAAGTAAAATCCAAGTAACAATAGTAACAATAACAGTGATGATGATGATGATGATGATGATAATAATAATAATAGCAATAATAATAATAGCAATAATAATAATAATAATAATAATAATAATAATAATAATAATATTAATAATAAAAAAATATATTAACAAATAATATAAAATAATAATAATAGTAATATTAATGATTATAATATAAATGATAGATTGTCTTTCTATAGCTCATTTTGATATCGACAAGACGCTCACATGCATCATGATAAAACAGGTAAAGCAGACACATGTACATTGGAAAAGCAATGTTTTTAAAAAATCTCAACTTAGAAGTAGACACAATTGAACATACTCGTACATGTACATTAAAAAAGATACTATTACAAAAATAATAGGAATACAGACATAGTAATGCAGATTAGTACATACACATACAGTTAGACCAAAAAACCCCAAAAGCTTAACTTTCGTTGACAGTTCACATTGTGTTTAAAAAAAGTGTCTAATGTTGATCTTGTTGTCTTCATTTTAAGTTTGTCCTTCACATTTTTTACCCTGCGATACATAGATCTACATAGACTTTATCACAAAAGATAGAGAAACAACAGCTGCTGTTACTCAGACGTCGCTGTACAAAATGTAACGGCGATTCAGATCCTCAAGGTTTTTCGAAGTGTGTTCATTCACGTAGCTATAATTTAATATCGTGGTGCTCTTTCAAAAGCATTTAATACATAATGTTCCTGCTGACAAAGATACAGACATAATTTATGGCTAAAATGTTAATTTTGATACTATGGTGGTGGTTATGGTGCTGCTAATGATGATGATTACTCTCATTACAACCGATATCCTGCCTTTTCTCTCTCTGGTCCTGCAAAGATCCACACAGGTCTCCAACATTCCATCATTCACCCAGAACAACCCAACGGTCTTCCCCTGGACAGCCCAACAATGGCGGACAAGATGAAGGAAGCCGGTTACGCCACACACATGGTGGGAAAATGGCACCTGGGATTTTTCAAGGACGAGTACTTGCCCTGGAACAGAGGATTCAGCACCTTCTACGGTAAAGGGCGTTGAACCCACACACTACAGTTCATTACAATACACAATTAATTACACATATCATACAAACCCTTATCATGCAATAAAGTAATTACACAATTGTATGGGACATACCATACAATCCCTAACAGCGCAATAGAATAATTACACAATGATATGGGACATACGATACAAACCCATACAATGCAATAAAAAATATACAGCACAGGGATATGAAACGCATAAAGTACTTTTGTGGAGTCCAAGAGACTTAAAACGCACAGAGTATAACACCATGCAGTTATGGAGGTGTTAAACTTATGAAATACAACAAATTGCTAATTAATGATTAAAGTAATTACAAGCTATGAAATTGTTAGTTCTGTACACGTTAAGAATACAGAGCAACAGAATCTTACTTTAGAATATGAGCGTGAGAACGATACAACACAAAATAATATTATTATACTTTTTTGAAAAGAGTGGTCAAAATACATACAACATAATTTTTGTTGTTGCAAAGATGTATTAAGCTCATACAATACCATCCCACTCCGTTTACTGGCCACTTAACCAAGGATCTGAGGCTGACGCTTTCTGAATGACGAATTTTGTTGGGGGGTCTGTATTCCGTCTATCATTCCTTTGGCAAACGCTTCTCTTCTTTCAATTGAGGTTGAATTCTGACAGAACAGAAATAATGATCTGTCCTTCCATGGGCCTCCAAAAAGTGTTGTAAAAAAATAGACTTTTAATAGAATTTACTAACAATTCACCTCTGGTGGGTGTTTAGAATAGGTCTCACTTCATATTGTCTCTTACTGTCTGTCTTCTCTTTTCGTGCAGTTACTCCTGTTACTCAGTAAGTAGAGAAATGGTGGGCACAAAAGATGTCATGCATCACATCCAACACCAAATATCCAAATGGTTCCTACATCTCATGTCATTACCAACACACCATTCGGCACAACGTGCCTACATTTTAAAAAATCGATGGAAACAAGGCTAGAGGGTGACCGAGAAAGGCCTGGATGGATAGATGGAGTTAGGGAAAGACTAACCGCCCACGGCATCCCCCTGACCCAAGCTCTGCGGCTGGCGACAGAGAGACGTCTCTTTCTTCCCGCGACACTCAAAAGGGTATAAGCGGCGGATAAAAGTAAAAGTAAAGTAAAGTAATCCTATTACTAGTGTTACTGGGTCAATAAGTTCGCTTTACTAAAAAGAAAACCTCAACATTTTAAAAAAAAATCCCAAAACCACCTCGCCCTGTTGTCCAGGCTACCTTAATGGTGCCGAGGACTATTTCAGCCACAAGAAAGCGTTCAGTGACGGGAAGGAGTACCTGGACTTACGTGACCACAAGGGACCGATACACAGCGAGGACGGACATTACTCTACTCACCTCTTCACGGAGAAGGCGACTGACGTGGTGCGGGCTCATGATGCAAGCAAAGTGAGTGGTGTTGGGTGTTTTGGTGTATTTTGTTTTGTTTTGTTAGATTTTGATTTTGGGTTGTGGGTTTTTTATTTTGGGTTATGGTTGGTGTTTTTTAAAAGTTTTTTTTTGGGAAAGGG